CCCCATCAGACTGCCAGCGGATTTCTCAAAAGGGACCTTACAGGCAAGAAGGGGCTGCAAAGAGGTATTCCAGGTCATGAAATCCAAAGACCTACGACCAAGATTGCTCTATCCAGCAAAACTTTCATTTAGAATGGAAGGACAGAGAAGGTGCTTCTCAGATAAGATCAAATTCGAGGAGTTCATCATCACCAAGCCCTTGTTATATGAAATGTTAAAGGGACTTATCGAAGAAAAAGAAGTTAAAGAAACATGAACAGTGAAAGGACAACAAACTCACAGTTATTAACAACTACACCTAAAACGAAAGCAAACTAAAAGGACAGCTAGATCAGGAGTGGAAACACAGAAATGAAGATCTCAAGGAGGGTTAGCAACAGGGGAGAGGGAGGAGACGGGGGGAGAAGGTACAGAAAATAAGTAACATAGACAGTAGATAGAAAATAGATGGGGGGGCCGAATAGCATGGGAAATATAGAATCTAAAGGACTTGAGATACATGGTCATAAACTAAAGGGGGGGGTAATGGTGGGGATGAGGGGTAGGGTGGAGGGGAATAAAGGGGGAATGGAACAACTGTAACAGCATAATCAATAAAAAAATTTAACAAAAAGAGTCAGGAAGCAAGAATTCAAAGAAATTAGGAGAGTCTTAGGAACCTCCAGGACATCTTTAAATGCTCCAACATCCGAATCATAGGGGTACCAGAAGGGGGAAAGGCACAGCTACCAGTGGAAAACTCATTTGAACAAATAATAAAGGAGAATTTCCCCAATCTGGCAAAGGAAATAGACTTCCAGGAAATCCAGGAAGCTCAGAGAGTACCAAAAGTTAGACCCAAGAAGGAACACACCAAGGCACATCGTAATTACATTAGCCAAAATTAAAATGAAGGAGAGAATCCTAGAAGCAGCAAGAGCTAAGGGGACAGTCACCTACAAAGGAGTCCCCATCAGACTGTCAGCGGATTTCTCAAAAGAGACCTTACAGGCAAGAAGGGGCTGGAAAGAGGTACTCCAGGTCATGAAATCCAAAGACCTACGACCAAGATTGCTCTATCCAGCAAAACTTTCATTTAGAATGGAAGGACAGAGAAGGTGCTTCTCAGATAAGATCAAATTCGAGGAGTTCATCATCACCAAGCCGTTGTTATATGAAATGTTAAAGGGACTTATCGAAGAAAAAGAAGTTAAAGAAACATGAACAGTGAAAGGACAACAAACTCACAGTTATTAACAACCACACCTAAAACGAAAGCAAACTAAAAGGACAGCTAGATCAGGAGTGGAAACATAGAAATGAAGATCTCAAGGAGGGTTAGCAACAGGGGAGTGGGAGGAGGAGAAGGGGGGACAAGGTACAGAAAATAAGTAACATAGACAGTAGATAGAAAATAGATGGGGGGGCAAGAATAGCATGGGAAATATAGAATCTAAAGGACTTGACACACATGGTCATAAACTAAAGGGGGGGTAATGGTGGGGATGAGGGGTAGGGTGGAGGGGAATAAAGGGGGAATAGAACAACTGTAACAGCATAATCAATAAAAAAATTTTTAAAAAAGAGTCAGGAAGCAAGAATTCAAAGAAATGAGGAGAGTCTTAGGAACCTCCAGGACATCTTTAAACGCTCCAACATCCGAATCACAGGGGTACTAGAAGGGGGAAAGGCACAGCTACCAGTGGAAAACTCATTTGAACAAATAATAAAGGAGAATTTCCCCAATCTGGCAAAGGAAATAGACTTCCAGGAAATCCAGGAAGCTCAGAGAGTACCAAAGAATTTGGACCCAGGAAGGAACACACCAAGGCACATCATCATTACATTAGGCAAAATTAAAATGAAGGAGAGAATCCTAGAAGCAGCAAGAGCTAAGGGGACAGTCACCTACAAAGGAGTCCCCATCAGACTGCCAGCGGATTTCTCAAAAGAGACCTTACAGGCAAGAAGGGGCTGGAAAGAGGTATTCCAGGTCATGAAATCCAAAGACCTACGACCAAGATTGCTCTATCCAGCAAAACTTTCATTTAGAATGGAAGGACAGAGAAGGTGCTTTTGATAAGATCAAATTCGAGGAGTTCATCATCACCAAGCCCTTATTATATGAAATGTTAAAGGGACTTATCGAAGAAAAAGAAGTTAAAGAAACATGAACAGTGAAAGGACAACAAACTCACAGTTATTAACAACCACACCTAAAACGAAAGCAAACTAAAAGGACAGCTAGATTAGGAGTGGAAACATAGAAATTAAGATCTCAAGGAGGGTTAGCAACAGGGGAGTGGGAGGAGGAGAAGGGGGGAGAAGGTACAGAAAATAAGTAACATAGACAGTAGATAGAAAATAGATGGGGGGGCAAGAATAGCATGGGAAATATAGAATCTAAAGGACTTGAGACACATGGTCATAAACTAAAGGGGAGAATGGTGGGGAAGAGTGGAGAGGAGATAGAACAACTGTCAACTTAAGCATCAATCAATAAAAAATTAAAAATCAGAAAAATAGATGGGGGGGCAAGAATAGCATGGGAAATATAGAATCTAAAGGACTTGAGACACATGGTCATAAACTAAAGGTGTGGTAATGGTGGGGATGGGGGGTAGGGTGGAGGCGAATGAAGGGGGGAATAGAACTACTGTAACAGCATAATCAATAAAAAATATTTAAAAATTTTTAATTAAAAAAAAAAGAAACAAAACTTTAGGTACTCATCCCTGCTCCAGGTCACCTATATGAGAGACCTCACAACCAAGGTGTACCCACTTTAGAACTATTAGATTAGATCTTCCAGTTTATTATTTACACTTAGCCCAAGATTACAGAATCCTGTTGGTTATGTTTGAAACCAAGACCACCCTTCTATATAGGGCTAGGAGCCAAAACCTCCGTTCCAGGTGCCAGGCTACAAGATCTGGACTCACCCCGGCGGGAAGTAGAAGACTGCTTATCTGATAGCCCCCTTTCCCTGGCGGAGTTTTATGGGAAAGGTACATGCTACTCATTAGCTAATTTCAATTTGCTCAACTCTAGTTATGGTGACTACTGCTTAAATCAGAAGGAAATACCAGCCAACGGTACCCAGCCCTTAGTCATAAGGGCCCCAGAGGGACTTTGGTTTATATGCACCAGAGGGACTTTCAAGTGTATACTCCCATGAGCTATGTGTCAGTGCATATATTATACCCCAAGTATACCTGTACGGAGGGAATCCAGACTTCTTGCTGGACCCACCTAGAAGGATCAAGAGGGCCCCCTTATTAATCCCTATTATAGCTACTATAGGGATATTAGGATCCACCGCAGTAGGGGCAGGAGCTTTTATCCATGGAGAAAATAAATTAAGACAATTATCCCAGACCTTCTCCAGGGACATATCGCTCCTCCAGGATCAAGTAATCTATCTAGAGCATCAGGTAGATTCGTTAGCAGAAGTAGTAGCCCTGCAGAACAGAAGAGGGCTCGACCTATTATTCCTCCAACAAGGGGGACTTTGTGCGGCACTAGGAGAAGAATGCTGTTTTTATGCCAACCACTCAGGAGTAATAAGAGAAAATATTAAAGTACTAACGAAAAGGTTAAAAGAAAGAGAACAAGCAGACAATGACTCCAGCTGGTGTGCCTCAATGTTCAGAACCTCCCCCTGGCTGACCACCCTACTCTCAGCCATAGCTGGGCCACTATTAATATTATTATTATTATTAACTATTGGACCCATAATACTCAACAAGGTCCTCGCCTTCATCAGAGAACGGGTAAAAGTAGTCAAGCTAATGGTCCTGTCCCAGCCATATAGCATACTACCTGGGGACAAACGAGACCGAATCAACGGTTTGATTCATAACCAAGAGAAGGGGGGAATGTTAGGCCCGGAATTAGATAAAAGTAGCCAAGAGGAACCCAAGGCAGACTCCAGACTGACTCAACAAGGAAGATAGTACAGAAAGTACAGACTGAACAAGATAAACCGCCTGTGCCTGACCTTGTCTTTGCAGAAAAGTATCCATTGTTGCAAGCAGAGAGCACAGCCATGTGTGTTCTCTCGAGATAGCCAATTGCTAACAGCTACGTCTGCTTCTGTATTTGCTTGCTTGCTTGCTCACCCCAATAAAAACCCTAGGCTGTAAGTGCCAGGTGCAACTCTCATTTGCAGCCTTCTTGGCACGTGCGACTCTCATTTGCAGCCTTCTTGGCACGTGTCTCCGGACACCTCGAGAGTTTGCCCCTGCGCAGGTGAAGCTTTGGCCAATAAAGTTCCATCTTAAACTCCTGAAAGTTTCCAACCATTTGTTGCTCGAGTTGGTGTTTACCACACTAACACCACTTTCCACGTGAGTGGCCACCATCCCCCCCCCCCCAGCCAAGCGACCTCCCTCTTCTCTTCCTTCTAGGTTCCCCCGGCCTCCTTCTCCCTGCAGAGTGGTTCTCCCCAGCGCCCCTCTGCCCTTCACCCCCTGAGTTACCTGGCACCACGCCTCTCACTGCCCTGCCGTGTCCCCATCCCTCCTTCCACCTGCACTGGCTGCCCCCGGCAGCACGCGATTTGGCTCCCAGCTGCAAAGCCCCACTATGGTCCAGTGCCACCTTCCCGCAGTGGTCCATTGCCCACAGTGGTCCCCTCCCCCCACACGGTGGTCCAGTCCTCAGTACCTCTTATCTCCCTGCACCACACAGTGGTCCAGTCTGTCTCCTCGTCAGCCCAGATAGCGGTCCAGCCTGGTCTCCTTCTTCCTCCTCCTCACACTCCACCCCACCCTACACCACAGTGGTCCGGCCCTCACTCAGCCCTTCCCCCTCACCCCACAGTCTGCTCAACTACTTACCGTCCCCCCCCCGCACAGTGGTCTCTCCCCTCAGCTGCCTACCCCCCCACACACACAGTGGTCCAGCCCCAGTCCGCCCCGCCCCCACACGCGGTCCGCCCCCCCCCCCCCCCCCCCCCGCCGAAGTAAGTCGGGTGGAGGTTGAGGGTTCTCGGCGGCGGTTGCAGGCTGACGGCTGCGATGGCGGTGGCCGGTGGGAAGCTGGGGCAGGACCCGGCGCGCTTCGTCTACGTGACGCGCTTCGGCTCGCACCGGTGTGGCGGCGTCTTGCAGCTGGGAGGCCGCCGGGCTGAGGGCCGCTGGAGCCCGGGGCTGCAGGCAGGGGGCAGCCTGGAGGAGCCGCGTGGAACGGCGGCGGGGACCCCGGGCGGCGGGGACCTGTTCCCCGGCTCCGAGCCCGGGGGCCCCGCGGCCTCCTCAGCGACGCGGGCGTCGAGTGCGCGGAGCAGCGGGAAGTCCTCAGCGCGTGCAGGTGGCGCGAAGGGGACCGGAAGGCGGGGGCGGGCGGGGTGTGGGCCGGCCGGGCCGCCTTTCACGCTTCCGGGTAGTCGTCCCGCAGGTGTCGGGGGTCTCAGGGCCGTGGGCTCCGTCAGCCCTCCCGCCCCGCGGGCGCGGCCTCGCTCGGCGTTCCTGGCTCGAGCGCCACTGGTCGGCCGGCGGCAGGCTCCGCCCTCCCGTCAGTGTCCAGTCACTTCCGGTGTGCTTCGGCCTGGGCGCGCAGGTGCCCGAGAAAGTCCTTCGAGATCAGCCCGAGAACTGCATCTGGGAGGAGAGGTCCTCGGCTGGAGCCACCGCGGTCCCCCAGAATGAGGGCGCCGTGGCGTCCTTATGGGGCTCCCACCGGGATTCACCGAATTTGTGCAGTCGCTTAAGGAGAGCAGACCTCTAAGATGTCGAGTCACCTCCTTTCTAAAAACAGACTCTTTCCATGTGTTCAGTCTACTTTTGTGCCTTTCGGGAATATTCTGTGTTTAAAAAACTCTCTTCTCCAGTTTATTCCTTGGCACTGGATCTTTGCTGCTATTGTAAACCGGGTTTCCTCTTTCCTGCTGTCCCCTAGGTGCCTATCGTTTGTGCTTATGCAGCCTCTTGATCTTTAAAAACAATCGCCTTCTAAAAACAAAAGCACGATTTACGTGCTTTTTGAGGAGTTTCGACACAGCTGCACCCCTAATAACTAACACTCATGATACGGAGCTTTCCCATCGCCTTGAGAAGACCTGCCTCTCTTTTGAGGGCCCAACCCTCCACCCGTGCGTTTCTTAAAAAAAAGAAAGAAAAGAAAGAAAAGAAAAAAGCTTTGTTGAGCTGTAATTCACAGTCCATCCAGCTCAGCCACTTAAAGTGTACGATGCGTTGTTCTTTACAGAGTTGTACAACCTTCCCCGCTGCCGCGTTTGGAACGTTGTGGTCACCCACCGCCCACCCACAGAAAAGCCACGCCCATCAACACCCCGCCCCCATACCCGAACCCTTGGTCTCCGCAGGTTTTCCTGCTCCAGGCCCTTCGCAGAAGGCAGCTCCTGCACTTTGTGGGCTTTCCCAATTGACTTCCTCCACATGGCCTACTGGTTTTTCTATGTTAATCCCAGATCCTAATGCTTCACCGAATCCTTTTATCGCCAGAGTTAGTGTGTTATTGCTGACACAGGGTTTTCCCGGGATGCTGATATTCTAGACAAAAGATCGTTTTTAGTTTTATACCCGTTCTTATGCCGGCAGTAGATTTGATTTGCCATCGGCTGATGCCTCATGCACAGTGTTGAGGAATCGGGCGGAGGTTGTGGGCATTCTCACCTCGTTCCCGATCTGGGGGAGATCCCTCTACTATTCTCCATTAAACAAGAGGCTGGCCTTAGGACTCCGGCACCTCTATTTAAAACATTAAAAAGCATTAATTAGTTTTTATTTTTTTCGGTGTTTTTATCACGATGGAGTGGTTGTTAGATTTCATCAGAGGCATTCTCAGATCTACAGAGGTAAACATTTTTTCTTAGATTTATTAATGTGTCATAGGATATAAATGGATTTCCTGACGTTGAACCAACCTTGCATTCCTGAAATGAACTCTATTTGGTTAGGATGTATTATTTCATAAAATAGTGTTGGGCCCCTGCTAATAATTTGATTAGAATGTTCGCATTGGTATTTGTGAGAGATAGTGAGCTGTAGTTTTTCTTTCCTTTTATTTGTTCATCTGGTTTAGGTATCAGAGTTATACTTCATAAAACAAATTAGGAACTTTTCATTCCTTTGCAATGCTCTGGAATTTACAAAACACTGGGACTCTCTGATGTTCGAAGGCTTGGTAGAATTCTTCTGGGAAACCATCTGGCTGTATTACTTTTTATGGGATAATTCTGTAGTAACTTTATATCTCCTGTGAAAATTGGTCTCTGATTTTTCTAACTCTGATGGGTCAGTGCTGGTAATCTGTATTTCCCTAGGAAATTACCCATTTTATCTATGTTTCCAACTTCCAACTTTATTTACGTAGATGTCTGCAAAGTAGTGTCTTGTGATTTTTGAAAATGTCTGTGTTTCCATGGTTATTTCCCCCTTGTCATTTCTTTTTTTCTTTTCTTTTTTGGAAGTATGTGCTTTCTATCTTGTTCTTGATCAAATTAGCCAGTTTTGGGGTCTATTTTATTAGCTTTTTTGAAAAACAAAATTTTGATTTATCAATGAGACATTTTGTTAAGTCTCGTCCTCATTAATAAATAAAGATAAAACTATTGTTTTCTTAAATGTCTATCTTTTAGTTTGCTTTCTACTTTTTATACCTTTTTTGAGCAGGACATTTTATTTATTTATTTTTATTCCTTTTCATTGATAAAAATGTTAGTGCAATGAAATTTTTTCTAATCTGTTTTAAGTGCCTTAGATTCTAATATGTAGTGTTCTCATTGTCACTATTTTTTAATTCTGCAATTTCAGTTTGTATTACCCCCTCTCCCTAGAATTGCTTGATAGATTTGAAATTTTTTTAATTTCCAGGACTCTTTTTATTTTTGTTGGTGAACTCTTGTTTTATTGCGTTGTTATCAGAGAGTGTTGTTTGTAGCATTTCAACTTCATGCATGTTACTGATATTTCCTTTGTGACCTAATTTATGATCGTTTCTTTTTGCTTTTTCTCCCCCAGAAGCCACGCAGTTGGAAGACTGTCCCTTTTCTTGCTTGGTCCTTTAAACTGAGCCGGCCCCATTCAATAGCATGCTTGGTACTATATATGGTGTCTAGCCCTTTAAATCTCTTTCCTGTAGTCTGTGTTCTGTTGTGCCTGGTTATGTTTTAGTATTTTAAGATTTTGGATGGATTTAGTCACTCTGTTGGTCATTCACGTCTCCTGTAGGTATCTTTCTAGCCTCCCTCCTTTTTCTTCCCTCCCTTGGCGGCTGTCATTTTATAGTCACTGAGGACTTTTGCATGGTAGAGTGAAACCTTCAGAGAGAGGTACACTTCTGGAAGATAAACTTGTGAGCTGTTTGTAAGACGTAGTGGAGTTTAGAAATCCAGGGACAGGCAAATCGGGTAACTCTTCTAACATGTCAAACAAGACTAATAAATGAGGCTGGCTCCCTCTTCACGCAGAACTTGGGAGACACAGCTGTAATCTGCACGTAGAAGCAGACGATGAATGCCGTGGGGGAGGTACCAACACATGCTTTGGAAGTGGTGAATAGTTCAGGGGTGAGGGAATCAGGGAAGGCTTCGTGGTGGTGGAGGCTGCATGAGATTTACACATGCTGCTGAGACAGGAGGGAATCAGTGGGAAAAGCATGTGAACAAAGTCTTGCGTGTGGATCGGCGATGGCGAGTGATCAGGGAGGAACTAGAAGTATATTTTGACTCGGTCGGAGTGTGTGGAGAGCGAGGACTAGAGGCAGAGCCGAGACACCATCTGACTGAAGTCTTTGATACATGTGGGAGCGGCCTCCATGAGGTGCCCAAAGACACAGGGAGAAATAGTTTTGTCTCTTTTCTTTTCTGCATTCTCTGTGTTACTGCTTGATGTGTTCTCGATCCCCACGGAATCACAAATAGACTTGATGGCTCCTGTCCCGAGCTCAAGGGGTGCATGTCTAGGCTAGGAAAGACTTACAAATGGAAAACATTTGGGAATGATGCAAGCAGAGTGTTCCGAAGGTCATAGGCGTCTGGCTGGATGGGTAAACGCAGGGATATGAAGAGCGGAGCTTCAATTACTGTCCTGCCCCACGCGCTCATCTGTACTGCCATTTCCTTAACATATTTACTTAAACAGGTGCATTTGCCCTCTCAACTAAATTTCTTTTTAGAATCCTTTATATTATTACCACAGTGGAAAATCTGTACCATTGGCCATAAATAGAAGTTAATTGAAAACAATCTAATAAAGGCAAAACAGTATTAAATTATAGCCCAGTAGGTCACCTGCTGATGGTTGTCTGGTCACAGAGGGCGGTTGGCATGTCCTAGAGAAGTCTTAGTGACGCACTCATTCCCAGCCTAGACCTCCTTGATGTAATCAGAAGACTGACGAAGCAGTGGGAAGGGAATTAGTTTCTCATCACGCGAGTGGGTGTTCTGTAGCGCCAGGTCTGTGTCCCGCCCACAGTCAGCAGCGTGCTTCTCACAAAGTGGGAAATGCCATTTTAGAACGTGTTCGAATGGACACAACAGGTGGAGTGCTCGTTGTATAGCTGATTTATAAGGTGTTAGACGCGGGACCTCTCATGAAGGGTAAAACACACTCCCCAGGTAAACCGTGACCCATCCTGTGAGGACTGAGCACAGGGTGCTTTGTGAGACAGAGAACGCCCGGAAAGCTGAACATTGAGTGAGTGGGAGGAAGCCAAGTAGGGCAGGGACCAGGGAGGAAGGGGCCGAGGTGTCCAGACAAAAGGAGAACAATGATGAAGGCTTCCAGGGAGCACATGCCCATTGTCTTACGACATTGTCTTTGGACACACAGCCCTTATGCTTTCTTCTAACAGTGGATGTTTGGGACAGCAGTGTGGTTCAGTGAGCGGAGTCAGGGTGCTCCGTCAGGGTGCTCCGTCAGGATGCTGAGGAACTTTTATTAGTAGTGTCTCCTATGTGTGTGGTGGTGTGGAGAGAAAGATGAATAAGACACACAGCCATTGACCTCTAGAAAGTGACAGCTGAGTGGAGGAATCGCAACATAAATACATGATGTAAAAATGTGCTAAGTGCTCCAACTTGTTCTAGAGCCAGCGCTGTTCGGGACTGTGCCAGCTTGAGGGAGGAGGTGACGTGTGAGCCGAACCTTGAAGAGCAGGTAGAAATTTACCTGGTGCACTGTGTGTGTGTGTGTGTGTGTGTGTGTGTATACACATGCACATGCGCACGGTGTTCTAGCCAGACAGCAATGCAAAGGCCGCGGGCATGGGGGGCGTGGTAAGCACAAGGCATATTGGGGGAACCACAGGTGTTCTGTGTCGTTGGAAGCGTATTTTATCCGACGTTGAATGGAGAAGAAAGGAGATCATAGAAGTGCGTTGGGGCAGGATGGGGTGCTGGTGTTTGCTTCCTGTTGCTGACCTGTTAGGGGCTCACCTTTCAAATCAGAAAGGGAAGGATATTTCCTAGGCACTTTCAGGGTTCTCTGTAGTTTTTTCTTTTTGTTTTCCCACCGTTATATTAGCTAATAAGGAAAACCTTACCCCATGATCAGAAATACACCAACAATTGTAAAACTCCCCAGTGAGAGCTCAAGAGTCATGTATAGTTGTCTCTGTTCTCTGGATCGGGCGCCTTTAAAATAAATAGGCACTGACATTGACATTTCCTCTTCTTTCTTTTTTTAAATTAGGTTTGATCCAGAAGACTTTGTGTAAAAAGTATGATTTTCCCATACCTTTCAATGAAGCCTCCAAAATAATGAAGAAAAAGAAAAAGGTATATTTTAGGAGATGAGCAGTATTTGCATTTTGGATTAACCTCACTAAATATAAACCTGTGAAGGTACTCAAGATTGTGAACATAGTTGCATCTTTTGAAAAGTTCGATTTACTGAAACGAGAAACTAAAATTAATTAGCAGAAATGGAACTTGGTTTGGGAATATTATATTCGTTAACCATACAGAATAGTCCTTGCAGCGTTTGAAGGTATAAAACACATTTCAATCAAAATGTAACCCACTGGGAGATTTTCCAAGTGTGAAAATATGTTCCATAGACTATAACAAACTCTGACAGATAATGTAATGTAAGAAGAAAATTATGGATTTCACAGAAAATCATGTAACTGCTGGTGTCATATTGCTCTTTTAAAGACAAGGAATGTACTTAAGTGTCTGGCAGGAAAGCTGACAAGGACGGAACTTTCGTGCTGAACCCTTTTCACCTCTGGTCCAAATGTTACGGTAACTTGAGTGTTTTAAACACATTCAAGATTAGTTACTCTACACATCTTTGATTTCCACTGTCTGTTTATACTTCACTTTAAAGAAACTGTTAGTCGATAATGACACATAAAATCGTATTTTCTGAGCTTGGCGTTTGAGTTATAATTTACGCACAGCATGTAAATGGCATTCAAGGTGACTGACCAAATGCATTTTGGGTGAGCACCTAATTTTCCCACTAAGAAATATTTCTTCCAAGAACCGGTCCCTCTTGGGTGAGAAGAAAAGAGCAATAGCCAATATTTACTTATAACGATTACATGGCAGACACGGGCCCACGTCCAGCCACTGGTGCGTGGCGAACCCGAAGTTGAGCCGGGGTCTGCCTGTTGCTCCCACAGTCGTTGTGTTTTCTATTCTAGTCCATTCATGCTCTCTAGTCATTTTGCTTTGGGATGTCTCAGCAGAAATGTTTTATTCTTACGTAGAATAAAATAAATTAAAAATCAAATTATTGCCCAGGAGTAGGAATAGAAATTCATTAGGAATAGAAATTCATTATTTTTATTGTTGGGTTGGCCAAAAAGTCCGTTTGGTTTTTTCCGTAAGGTGGCTGTAGTACTGCTCAGTTGTCTTCAACTCCATTTGAAATAATGTGGTTAGATCGTATTGTGATGGCTGCCGTATCATTTAAAAAAAGCTTATTTAAAGAAACTGATTGTGCTTGAGTGCTAATACTGTTGTAGGACGATAACACCCGCTGCCCTGCCACAGACCTCGTCAGGCCCCGCTGCCTCCGTCTAAACCCGTTCCTGCTTTTCTGCTCTGTGCTCCTTAACTGTGCTGTCTCTTTAAGGTTTCTGTGTGGAAGAAAGTGCACAAGCTCATTTGTAGAATGCTTGAAGAAAATGAAAAATACCGACTCAGGATGAAAGGCCAAAGACTCTCTAGTGAAAGTAAGTTAAATTTTTTCTTGTCTTAAGGACGGGCTTCTGTAACAGTTCAGTCGCTTTCGGGTCATGCTGGAACCACAGTTTTCCTGATGGTCCCAGGCAACCTCCAGAACTGCAGAAATGGGGCTAGTGGATAACCGGACAGAAAGCACCATGTGCCACTGTTAGGGCTGGGAGGGGCAGTGGCACGGGGCGGGCGTGAGGGCGGGTTGCAGGAGGGGAATGTTGACTGCAGTCCACCGAGCAAAGGGAAGGCACTTGTTAGTTGAATCTGAACTTGAATGCCGACTTTTTAGTACAGACTACAGAACTCACCCATGTTGAGGAAGAAACACATTTCAACGGCAGTATAAGACTATACATCAGTCTAGTCACATGGATGCTGCCATCAAATTTAATGCATTTAATAATCTGCCCTTGAGTTAGGGCCTTGGTGTCCTTACCTCATTCCTGGAAAACATCTCATAAATTAAACCATGTTCTAAAGCTGTATCAATAGTGAGTTTGATGCTGTGGCCAAAGCAACACTAGGTATGATCTAGTGTAGTTATTAAAGTAATTGGAAGATCTGGATTCTCAAGCAATTAAATTGCATTAAAAATCTATAATAATGCTGCATGAATTGATAAATCATGATAGTTATTATTTTTCCTTCTCATGCATGTTCTGATACATGTGTTACCATGCTGACTGCTTCAGTAGGTTCTTAGTACAGTCACCTGATGACAACTTTTAAAAAAATATTTTATTTATTTTTAGAGAAAGAGAAAGGGAGAGAGAGAAGGAGAGAAACATCAGTGTGTGGTTGCCTCTCACATGCCCCCTACTGGGAACCTGGCCTGCAACCCAGGCATGTGCCCTGACTGGGAATCCAACTTGTGATCCTTTGGTTTGTCACTGAGCCACACCAGCCAGGGTGACAACTTCTATTTTGACAGTGAATCTGTAGAATTAAATTTTGTGAGGAATATTTTCAAACAATAAATAGTTATAATGGAGTGCTGTTTTGTGTAATGTATGATTAGAAATTCATTATTGTTTGTGTAATATTGCACCAATAATAGCAGAAATTGTTTGCAATAATGGCATATAAGCCAATGTCCAAACTAGTGATACTATTTTTTACTTTTCTTATTCAGTTAATAAGGGGAATGAGGCAGGAAAGGTGATTAGGAGGAAAAAGTAGTCAGTGGTTTTAGGTGAAAAGGATGTTGGAATAAGCAGACCAATGTGCACAAAACCTAGACCTTGTTCTGATTGTTATTCCAGAACCAATTACTTTAATAACCAAACTAGATTATATCTAATTTTGCTCTGCTGCAACCTTGAGCTGGTCAGTTTCTCTTGTACTTCAGCAACAGGCCTTCTGTTAACCGCAGAACCATCTCGTACGGATTGTTCAACAACTTAAGATAATATGCAGTATTTTTCAGAAATAACCTCTTAAAAACAAAAGGCCTCCTTGTAATTCATTATTTTGTATTGCAGTTTGAAGCCAGAGTACAACAACTAATCATGTTTTTAAAATGTTATAACTTATTCCCTAATATGTATTTATTAATAGGAAAACCATTTCTAGAGGCCAACTTGAGTTTTTCTTGTATTTTATATCGTTTCTAGACTCAGATTACACCAAATGAATCACCTTATCATCTTCTGGTAAGAGTCTATTTGGATAACAAGTATAATGTAAAATATAGATTTTTTACAATTTCCCCTCTGTATCCTACTTTCTCCACCTTCGGTGTATGTATACTCATCACCAATTCCTGCCAGTTTCCTTCTGTACACCGATGTTTGGCATATAGTGGGCACTCATGAAATATCAGTTGAAATTTAATAAACTTTATTTGGGGCCCATTTTTGCGATGCTGTTGAAATTACTGTCTCCATGGTCCCGGTTTTTCTTTTTGTTCATATGTCTGCTTAGCTCTCTCTTTGAACATGCTGTCATGTTTAATATTGTTTTCGTACTACTCCTTCCAATTTTCCTTCTTTCTTAATGCCATGGTTCTGTTTCTGCTCTTCTGAGTACTTTTTTTATCTGTCCCTTGTGCTGCCACCTAATACCAAATGCTGCCCAGGAGTGATTGTGGGGCCTAGTCCCCTTCCCGTGTTTATTCGGAGATGACTGGCCCATGTCTTTGTAGCTTCAATGGCTCCCTCTGGGTGTATGATCTTTAAACCTACCCTTCACCTCTGGTCTGGTACCTCTGAGTTTCTGTAGGCTGTTCTACAGTTACTTTTAAATTTCACACATTTAAAACTGAGCATATCATCTTTCCCTCGTTTCTTTTGAATTGTGCCCTGGTTTACTAATTATCTGGGCTCATTAAACTCTGAGGGAGAGACTGCACCCAGTTGGGTGGGGCTTGGAAAGTACTTTTTTTATCTGTCCCATCTGTCCCCGGAAAAGGGAAGTGAGCTGTGCCTTAGGAAAGAGAAAATAGACTCTTACGAATGGGAGTGTGGGGGAGGGAGTGTGTTTTGGACACGGACCTGAGCAAGTACGTGCCACCCAGGAAAATGTTTAGGGGGTGCCGTTTGTTTAAAGCTTGGCCAGGGCAGTCAGAGCGAAGACAGGCACGCAAGTCCACCGGCTGTAGGGTCTCGTGCCCCCACCCACTGAAGGGTCTTGTGTGAATCCGGGGCCCAGGGTTTGTGCCCGTTCAGTAGGTAATGAACCAACACGGAACATCGTCTTAGCTGTTTCTTCTAAACGACTTCACGTGTATGGAGAAGTTGCAAAAATTATCCAAAGCACTCCAGAGTAGCCTTGATTGGAGTCTATTTTGTATTAATAAGATTCGATTCTCATCTTTTATTTAGGATCTGTTTACCAAGGAGATTATGAAGAATTTAAAGATAGAACTTTAAATTGAATCATAATTATTTGTTAATTTGAGGGGTTTTTTTGAATTGGGACTCACGTAGTTGAATAGAAAAACTACCTTCTCTATGAATTGATAGTATTTCTTTGCAAGTTAACATTATTCATTAAATGTTCTTATTGTATGCATGCAAGTATTATTTCCAGAATTAATATTTATGTATTTCTTTTAAGTTAAACTTATACATGCAGTTTAAATTAGCATATTAATACAATTGCATTCTTTTAAAATTGCCAACTTTACCTCTTACTAATGAGGCTGCAACTATGGCTTTATTTATTCCTTCATTTAGGTGTAATTTCTAAATAAAACTTAAATTTCCTTTGACTTCCTCACATTTTCTAAGTTTCTCAATTATCTTATGACAAAAACCTACAATTTATGCAGCAAAAGTTATTTTGGGTGTTAAAACAAATGGTTATTTAAGCCACCTTTTCATCCTAAGGAAAGGCAGTAAATTAATGCATGTTCTCTGTTATAATCTGGAATATTTTAGGGAAACTTTCGTGCAGAGATGAGAGAAGACATTTTCTCTTCCTGTCTAATTAATTAGATACTTTTAAGTCAACAAAATGAGAAAGTCAGAGCTCTGGACAGAATTTAGAAGTGTTTTCTGTGAAATCCTTTTATTCTCTACTCAGCAATCACCCAGGACCTGTACCGGTTCTCCTGCTCCTTGGTCACCTGGTGTCTCCCTCTGTCCTACCGAAGTCCTGGGCTTACCTGAGACATTAGGTGGGAAAGACAAAGGGGTTTGCTCGAGATCAAGCTCCGCGGACACTCCCCGCCTCTTCCCCGGAGGTGGAAGGCCCCGTTTCCCATCCAGGATGATAACGGTGACCACGTCCGTTCTTTTGGGGGTGTCTAGATGGGGCGCTTCCCCCCCGGCTCCCACAAAGGCATCGCAGAGTGGCAGTGACGCAGAGCTCTCCTGAAACAGCGCCAGCAGGGAGGGCTGTCAAATACGCCAACGTTTCTCCTCCCTCTCGTTGTGATTTCATTACTCGGAGGCCAGAGCAGCGCGGGGCTGTGGCGACACTGCCATGACTGTTGGGCAGATTGCTGGTTTCCAGTTGAAGGACCCGGGGCCTGGCCAGTGACACAGGCCCTGCCTGCCGTGCAGTGTCGGTCCACAGGCCTCCTGGCAGGAGGGTCATGGGTCTTGGGAACGTGCTGGGGAAATTCTAAGCCTGCTAATTTCTTGGATAAAGCTTCAAATTTTAGCTTATAAAACTTAAGTCATTGTAAAATGAGACATTTACTGGTTTATACTAATTAATGCTGCATAAGGCTTCGTGGTGAACATGAATGAAGATGTTCTGTTCATTTCAGTGTGGGTTCGTGTTATATGTGACCGCGCTTGACAAAGCTGTTTCAGTTTATCAGATGTGTAGTATTTATCAGATTTGAAGTATGACTCCAATGCTGGATACACACTTAGTTTGCCTCACTGTTCTAGAACCGTGGAGTAATGAAGGCTCGTATGGAAGTACATGTGCTAGAGAGCTACTCTGAGTCTTTTAATTTTTATGTAAAAATTTCTGGTGAAAATGTATTAAATCTGTGTTTCATTAAATAGAATGTAACAAACCTAACACAACTTTTCTTTGCTGATAATATCTTGAAAGTCACTTACATTTCATTATATTGCCCAGCACTTTCCAATCCACCTTCCCTGCCATTTCCAGTCACAATAAACACCACACTGGTTTTGTTTGTATGACTTCTTTGCTTTTTGTATCGTTTTATTGCAGTTACATGTTTTTCTAAAACTTGCATCCAGGTGTTTCATTTTCTAATGAGGACATTATGTTACATATACTCTTTTTGGACTTTTAATATTGCTTTTTAATATTACACCACTAAAATCCGTGCGTATCGTTGCCTGCCACAGTGGTTCATTTGTTTTCCCCAGACTTCCTCCAAGTCAAGTGAAGGGTGAGGGAATAGCCGAGTTGCTGGGAGTCCTGCAGTCTGGGCCCCGGCTGTCCCCCTTTCCTCCTGGTAAACCTGTTAACCACTTGTTTAATCTGTTTACTTTCATTGTTAGTAAATGATAACCCTAAATGAGCCCTCAGACCCCTGTGCTTTTAGAAATCTGGTTGTGCGTAGGAGCATTTTATCCTAGAGCGGCTGCAGCGGGAAATCGCATCAGTCTGCGGGCTCCTGAGTGAAGGACCTGCCTCGTCGCTTCACCGAATGCGCCCGCATTTACCCTGTTCTACGCTTTCCAAGATTCTGAGTGTGGGGGAGACTTCTCGTACTTCTGGAAGTGTTCCAGTACGGTACCAAATGGCTTCATTTAATCGTCAGTTGTCAAGAAGGTCTTTCTGTGATCCCCATGTGTCCTTGTGGAGCCTAATTCTGGAAGCCGGTGAAGTTTAGAGGTTTTTAAACAGCTGGAAATAGCATCATCGACTATGGATGACTCAGTAGTCCCAGGGTCTTAGTTTGTCATTTCAGTGTTTGTATCAGGTAACTGACTATATACCAGCGGCTAGAGCTTTTATTTTTTAAGTTGCCATGACCATGAAATGGAATCTTCTGGACATTAAGAGACAGAGATCAGCCCTGGCTGGTTGTGCTCAGTGGATTGAGCGCAGGCTGGGAACCAAAGGGTCACCAGTTCGATTCCCAGTCAGGGCACATGCCTGGGCGGCAGGCCAGGTCCCCAGTACAGGGCACTTGAGAGGCAACCACACATTGATGTTTCTCTCCCTCTCTTTCTCCTGCCTTTTCCTTCTCTCTAAAAATAAATAAATAAAATTTTTTTAAAATTAAAAAAAAAGAGACAGAGATCAAGGGAAAGCCGAAATATCCCAGCAAAGGTAACACCAAGTACAGGAGCCACCAAAGGTGCATTGCCCGCTCCCTCCTGAAGGTGGGAGCCTACAGTCAGGGCAGGGCCAGGAGCCTGCCACCCAGCCACGAGTCTGCTGCCCTTTAGCAGTCCGGTTCAAGTGGGGCATCCGTTAGTTCACTCATCCGCTTATTGATTTAGTACACGTTATGTTCCAGATTCTGTTCTAGGCCCTGGGGGAACAGAATCGACAAAACATATTAAATTGTCTGTCTTCAGGGGAAGACAGATAATGAACTGGATAACTAAAGCAATCGGTATGTTTGAAGAACAAGTACTACGGAGACAAGTAGAGGAGATGCGGGTGGGCTGAGGGATGCAGCGTCACGCAGGCAGATGGAGGGAAGGCTGAACATGGGAGGTGACCTTGAGATAAAAGCCTGAAGCAAGGGAGCCAGACAGGCAGGCATCAGAGGAAGGAGCCTGAGAAGAGCCTTCTGAGTACAGGCTGGATCCTGAGGCTGGAGGAGGGGAAAGAGAGAGAGAAGCAAGGAGGTGAAGGGAGACCAGCAGAGAGGAGGTGAGAGGGTAATAGACACCAGAGTGTGTCTCACTATTCTGATGGCTTTTCTCAGAGCAGGATGAGGAACTTTCAGAGGGTTTCGAGCAGAGGATTGACAGGAACCAACTAACATTTAACAGAACCACTTCGGCAACGGTTTTGAGGATGGATCAAAAGGAAGCAATGAGTCGGTGAGGGCTGACTTTTCTCCCTGCCTGTCAGTCTAAGCATAAAAAACTCAGCAAGCAACACCTCTCTCTAGAGACGCACTTTCCATGGGGAATTTGCAAGTACTGAAGTCTCTTTCCTGGGTGAAGATGCGCACATCCCCGGAGGGCACGCCCACATCCTTGTACTTTGTTGGAGAACAGCAGGTGTATGAGAAAA